TGGTGGAGGGTTCCGTAGGGACCCTCCTGGTGTACACCCCTCCCCTCCCCTCCTCCGGTACACCTACCAACTCCTCTACCCAGATACCCTCATCATTCTAATGCCTTTAACCTGTTACACTAGAGATAGTACCCCCTATTCACATTTCTTTCTCCTCTTTGAGTAAGAAAGTATAACTACCTGTTTTATTGAGAATAGTATGAGTTCTATTTAATTGGTAAATACCAGTGTTCTAATTTGATTGTCTTTATTTATTAAAATTGTACAGTATACAAGTGCAGTTTATTATTGCTTTTAGTTATTTAGGAGCATTGCAGAAATATAAATTTAAGTAGGTATTGTGTTTAGGTTTAAGGTGGAATACTATAGAAGATATCTTTTATGGGTTAGAGATTAGTTATATTTAGTGTAATACTGTGTTAGGGTATGCTATCTGTGGGTGTAAAAGGTGTTAAGATGCAGTATACTCTAGAGTTGGTTTAGAATACTGTGGGGCTATAATGTCCTCCCAGGCCCCGAGATATGGGGGCCCGGGGAGGAGAGTGAGGGTAAAATAGGTAAATTTAAAGACAGGTAAAATAAAGGAACTCTGTTAGCTGATGTTACCCAGGGGGATAGGATTGAATTAGATTCACCCAACCACCTCTTCTTGATAAAAAGAGCCAGAGGTAGCAATTTGTATTCTTATATTAGCTATTTCACCCACCCCGCAGGGCCCTCTCCTCCTACAGACTCTCACTTACCTACTAGTATTATCGGATGGTCGTACTATAAAACCACTATTATTTAGTATAATCCTTTCTCTTATTTATCCAAACAGGCAGGCGGGCACCCCGGTCCTGAAGGGACACCCCCTGTTAAGAGAAAAAAGTGGGGGAGACTTGTCCCGTCCCTTCGGGACCCCCCCCCGTGTGGGAATACTTTGGTAGCGAGCGGGTGGTGGAGGGCAGGAGCCCTCTTACACCTTCGGTACCTACGGGATGATCCCCGCGCCTCTTAGCGGGGACACCATACCTTATGGTAGAGGCAGGGCTCCCGCCTTCGGGAAGGATGGATCTCATCTGATGTGATCTGATGTGATCTTACAGCCCTGCTTTCGGATCCCGCGTTATTTAGCGGGAAGACGTGTAGTACACGATCTCTCCGAGAGCAAGCACTCTACCATCATCTTTTACATCCTTGCGGATCTCTTCTGGATCCCTGTCGGAGACAGGGATATACGGTCCCCAAGAGAAGAGAGGGACCGACCATCGAACCTACATCCTATTAATTATTACCGTCTCATCCTTTACACTCCTAGGTCTGCGGGAGTCTTCTCTTCCCTTCGTGTCGGGGGTCCCCCAATTAAAAGGTTTAAATGTACTCGAGAGATACCTTCTAGGTTCCCGCGAGCTCGCAGGTGACCTGCGGGCAAGTCCACCCATACTTAGTTCCTAGGGTCTTGACAGTGTCCTGTGATACATTACACGCTATCATTCCCCTAGCGCATAGTCCCGGGTCATAACATCACTATGTAGCCCGATCCTGGGTTTTATGATATGTGCTCCATCCTCCATGATACATGTGGTGATAATAAACTTTTAATAGTTCAATCAGTCGATCGATTCACAACTGCTACACCGAGAATCTCCTTGTGCCAGCGGTGTAGGTTGTATCGGACAGTAGGATATTAAAGATATAGTCATTATATCTTGGATACAACCCGTGCTGCAAGCTATCTCCATATGCAACCATACATCATCTAATTATGTACACAAGACCCAATTATACATTTATACCAAGGTACAATCAACATAGGGGTCTCAGTTCTTATAAAAGTTATCTATACCAACCCCGTGGGAACCTTCCGACAGGAGTGTATCGTAGCTGCCCTTTAGTTTAGAGGTAGATGGGTATAGCTAGTGTAGTAGAATAAGAGAGGTGTACCGAAGGTGTAGGAGGGTCCCACCCTCCACCATCCCTCGGGATGCAAGATCCGAATCATGTGGGTTAGTAGACTTTAGATATCTTGTACCATGTTTTTATCTGGGTCTATCTCTCTTGATCCTCGTAGCTCCAAGGGTCATAAGACCCTCCTAAAGGCACCCCTCCCCCTAAGGGTACCCTTATAGGCAAGAACCACTACACCTAATCTATCTCATTTTACTAACCTACAACCATTACCTACTATATCTTATTATGTCCTATCATATTTTTTTATTATAAATCACATACTAATACTCTCTTGGTAAAGTCATACAAATAACACATGGTTGACCTTGTTCCTGGGGGACTACACTTTTATCATACCACACCCGATGTTCCCTCTCCGCAACACCGCAGTACTCCATTTTTACGGCTCAGATATCAATGTCTTACCTGGAACTTAGCGATATATATGCTACCCTAAAAGGATTTTTTTATTAAAACCGAGATACCTACTATGCACCTTCCGGGGAGGTGTATGCTATGATATGCTATACCCCTTACGCCAGTTACACTATGTGTAAGGGCGTGTAACTCAATTGGTAGAGTAGTACTTTTGCAAAGTAAAGGTTAGAGGTTCAATTCCACTCTCGTCCATAAAATAGGGTAACTCACTCGTCCAGAATTTTCTTCTAGAGGCTAATCTTATTGCCTTTTCATCTCAAGTCAAATCTAATCTAATAATTGAACCAACCCACTTAAAATAGAACAACTAACTATAGACCCGCGCCTTTTAGCGGGGACACCATACCTTATGGTACGAGGGTGGTAGAGGCAGGATGGTTCTTATATGATCTGATCTTCCACTCCTTTGTTTAAGACACATGATATATCCTAAGGCGAAAGAGAACCGTTTTTAATAACTTAGTTGATATCATCTCATGGTAAGCATGGAGAGATGAAGGTGTTAAAATAGATTAAAATACTGAGTCTTCACACTACCTATGGTAGGAGGGATGCCCATTTTATATACGGTGTTCGATAATACATACCAACCATAACCTTTTGTGCACTATTGATATAGTTCTATATAATTGGGGTGGTTGAATATCTTATAAAAGGTAGGGGAACCCTCTATCATTGCCCCGAAGGGGTAGGGTAGGGTAGGGTACCGGAGGAGGGGAGGGGAGGGGTGCCTTTAGGAGGGAGACCCTCCACCAT